ATTAAGCATACGATATAAACATTGCAGAAAGCTTATTAAACTAAAAAGAAACTTTGATAAATCACAAATTGAATCTCATGTATCTAATAGCAAATGTATTAAGAACAAAGGACTTCAAGACTTAAGAAAATTTTTTTGTCCTCAAGATCCTCAAGATAAACCACTACATAAATGGTACCTATGTTCTTTCTTATATGAAGAAAAGCATTTTAAATATATCAAACGAGCTGGTGGTTTTACGATTTTTGGTAAAGCTCTGCCTGTTAAAAAAGTAGCACAAGAACTTTTTCTATGCAAGTTTACAGAAAAGACTAACTTTTCTTATTCTAAGCTTAATTCTAATCAATCAAAAAGACTTAATAATAAATTATCAGCAAGATCTAAATGAAAAATAGATCAAAAGTGTTTATATATACATAGTTCTGAATGTGAAATTTATACTGATTAAACTGAACAAATATGTGTAAAATGTATTTTACTTACAAAGAATCAAGTTTTTAAAGTAAAATTTTGATTATTTGAATCTCTCTCTTTTTACACAATTTTTATAATATATCTTTTTTTAGAATGCACTTTTTAAATCTATACCAAAACCAGAAAATCGATATTTTATACCCAAAATATATTTCAAAAGCAATTTGCTTTTAAAATTTCTTGAAAATTTAGATATAAGAGAACTTTAACTTTAGTTTCTTATACCAATAGAAATAATACAATATTATTTTGGTTAAGATTAACTAAAAAAGGCTTAAATAGAGTATTTAAATTGAAATCTGCATTTAAAGAACTATGTGAAATAATGATGCAAATAGTCCAACGTGAAAATCATAATAAAGGTGTTTAAAATTTTAATTATTCTGAAGATATTACCAATTTTATGGCTGTACTTTTTAGCCTAAGTCCAAGAGCCAATGAATTTTTTCAATCAAATTTGGCAGGACAGTCATTACAAAATATTAGGTATTAAATTATTATTTATTTAATTGTAACGAAAGATAAGAGACTATATAATATATAATCTTATAATTATTTAAAAATCTTTTCTATTTAGGCTTTTATATAAAAAATCTGAAGAGCATATGTTAGATACAAGAGATTCAATTTGTGATTTATCAAAGTTTCTTTTTAGTTTAATAAGCTTTCTGCAATGTTTATATCGTATGCTTAAT